AAATTTAAATATCATTTAACTAAACTTATTACCTGCCGTAACAGATCAGGATCCACTGGTGAAAGTTTGAAGACAATTTGATCCATAATTAATCAACAGGTCGAGGAACACAGATTGAAAAAGAATGAAACAATATTACTGATCCAACATATTGCAACTATTGAGAATGCATATTTATGTGCATTTGCATGTCCGCATGTTTGCATGTTTTTGTTTCTTTTTTTTTGCTCCCCCCTTCGCCTTCATCAACAATTTAACACTGCAAGAAGTAAGAAATATCAATCTAAAAAAAAACAGAAGCAAATGAAGAAATAATTGTATGCAAATTTTAAAGAAAAATTTAACTAATAACAGTTCTTCAAAATTTTGCATTTTTTCCTTCATTACTATAACAGCAAAGGTAGCTAATTTATTGTGCAACAAAATTTGTCAGTTTATTTTTGAGCTTCTAGCTAAAAAGTATTTAGATTATACTTTTAGCTAAAAAGTATTTAGATTATACTGAGGATGCCTTTTTCATTAGACTGATTGTGTAAAGTTATATCCACTGATCAACAGATAGCATAACAAAATTTATTGCCATCCATATTCGCTTGTCATTCATTAAATTTGCCCTTTAAAAAAACCAAACTACACAACTTCAAATAACTATCAACAAACAATTTTCGAGTGCAAAATTTGTAACTATTCAAATCGTTGTAGTTTACACTGACCCAAATCTTTTTTCCATAAATTTTTTGTGAAAAATAAACTGTTAAAAACTGCTAAATTGGTTAACAATCTTTTTCAGTGGTTCGGTCAAAAGCTTTATCCAACCGCTAATAAAGTGAAGTTCTATTGATCTTCCAATTCTAACAGACTAAATCACAAGAAAAAAAAATGTTATAGCTAATTATTTTTGGATATATCCAGTGTTCTTCTTATTTTTCTTCTTCCGGATCTTGACGTTTAAGCGTACTGCTTACGGCTGCTGATGCTGTTGTTGTCGTTGTTGAAATTACTAAAGTGGCTGACATTGGAAGAAACATTAGATGTAGAAATTGCTGACTTTATGGTAATAAAAAAAAAAGTTATTTGCAGAAACTTACAAATCCAATGCTGACATCATAAAAACTTTCACGCAGCATACTATTTACTACCTTCACTTCTATTCCTTTTGCTGCTAGACCACTCTCAATGAGCAATTCCGGTTCGACTAGTCTAATTAGCAACAAACTTTAATTGATTACTAAAGGCTCATTTTTTTTATTTTGTCATTAATATGATAATAAACTTAATACCAGTAATAAACTTTTTTTTTTTTCAATCAAAAAAGGTAAATTATTATTGTTGGTCAACACGGAAGACTCGCTAACTGCAACAAAATGATCAAACTACAAAACCGATTTGAGAACGTTCTATTTATTCACAGTCCAGATACGGCTTTTGGTGATCTACATAGCAAATATCTTACAAAATAGTCCCAAAGTAGTCCATTATTTTTTTTTTT